AACATTACATTCAATGATATATATAAACCTCTTGGAGAGCAAAAATAAGTATCCATGAATGCAGCATTGGTTGTGGGTCTCCTCCCATAGTTCCGCCCACCAGATCATCGCGGAGGACGCGTTTAAGTACAAAGGTGTTGGCATAATCGGGAAATGAGTCCCCTGAAGATAAATGCGCGAATTTTGACACTTTATGGACATTTGACGGGGCCCCGTCGCGGAAAAATAGTGGTACTGTCCCGGAAATCAATAATTTCACCCACCAACATTTCAGAAGCGGAGAAAGCTTCCTCCATGTACGGCATCGAGCCGGAAGACTTCCTGAAGGCTCTTACTCGCCCTCGTGTGAAAGTCGGTAACGAATGGGTGAACAAGGGACAGAACCTTGAACAGGTACTTTGAGAGAAAGCGACCATAAACAAGAGGATAGTAATCAATAATCGATCGATTCAGGTCAATTGGGCTGTCGGTGCTATGGCAAAGGGTCTCTATTCGAGAATTTTCCACTGGTTGGTGAAGAAATGTAACCAGACTCTGGATCAGAAGGGTATTTCTCGTGATCACTTCATTGGAGTGCTTGATATTGCCGGTTTCGAGATCTTCGACGTAAGTTTGAAAATGCTATTGATTTATTGATCGAGCCAGATTTATTGATCGATTTCAGTTCAACTCATTCGAGCAGCTTTGGATCAACTTCGTCAATGAGAGACTTCAACAATTCTTCAACCATCACATGTTCGTTCTTGAACAGGAAGAGTACGCTCGTGAAGGAATTCCAATGGACGTTCATCGATTTCGGTCTTGATCTCCAAGCTTGTATCGAGCTTATTGAGAAGGTCAGTTTCCATCGATTTCCTCTAGAAAACCTACCGGTTACCTGAACAAGTACTGAGAGTTGTCCCACAAAATATAATACTGTACTGGTTGTTTCCAGACTGCAAAATGTTGAGAAGGAGAGCTAACAGATCTAGGAAAATGGCGGGCTGTAATTGCACCGGAATCAAGCATGGGAGCATAGCGTCAGGGAAATTTATTCCTCAATGCCCCTTTTTTCCTTTACCCATCACCAATGCGACCCCCAACGAGGGAACATCTTCGCCTCGGTTGATGTCGTGTTGTGAAAAATTCTTATTTTGGTAAGGTCCTCCTCTCGCTATTTACCTTCCATCTCATCAACTTTTCCCGGTGTTTTGCCGTCATAGTTTATCCCTCGATAAAGCGGTCCATTTTTCCTTTTCCGCTCACCAATGGCACAGTGGGGTCTGGTCCATTGTGCCATTGGTGAGCGGAAAAGGAAAAATGGAGAAGTCTAGGGGAAAAAAGTGCAAGATATGACCCTACACTTTTCTTCGAAATCAGCCGTCGGCTATGAAGGGGGGGGGAGAACGAAGGGGAGAGGAGACTCTATCAGAAATAATAAATTTGCCGTTCTGCCAACAAGAGCGGGGTACTTAGCGCACCTGAAATGAAAAAATCGAAGTAAGATTGAAAATTAACGATCAAAATGATTTTTCATTTGGTGAAGTACGGGTACTTCTTGACGCGAACTCAGCTCCCTAATTTCCCCTTTACAACACTGCTTCCAAGTTGTTTAGATAAAATTTCTATTTCAATAGGAATAGATTCCCACGGTGCTTCCCAACAAATTGCTAATAAATACGAACTGTCCTGCCACCCTTGACACCAGCGGAATGTGGCGCTTTGCTAGGGCTGAGCTTTTGAGGCGAAGTACTTCATTCAGGGTACAGCATCGTTGCGTGAAACACTTGGGGGGGGGTCGTACTTGGTCGCTAGGTAGGGGTAGTATTTGGTCGTTGTTGTGAGGGGAGGGGTCGTATGGGCCTTTGAGAGAAGTCTGCCGTTTGGGAAAAAAATTTTTCCCGGTCGTTGACTTTCGCGATTTTTCCTGCTTACTATATACCCCACCCCCTCCCCGCTTGACGGAGCCCTCCCCGAGGGTGAGGGTCGTACTGACACTACCATTCACACATACTGTACCCCTGGCGTTTCGGCGCGGGACGGTGGTGTCAGTGACAAGTTGGCGCTCGGCTTACCACTCGCCGCGGCGCCGACGTTCAAATCCCGTCCACTCCTCGCCACCGAGGCCAACGAGCCTTCCTACCCTCGCGGAACGGTTGGAATTCGGGCTTACCAGATTCGTCAAGGAGGATAAAACACTGACTTGCTTGCATCGCGATGAGCACACGCAAGTCATTGTATAGGCCACATCGCATTCAATAAGCCACTACGATTCTGAATGGAAGTAGAATGCGTGCCGCATCCCACAAAGGGATTGATCAACGGCGAAGACTTTTCCTTTTATCCTTTTACCCAGGCTGGCTTCATATTTCCCACCATCCTTTCAGTCTTAAATGAAGCGCATGGATGATCATGATTCAGTGGTGCCTACTATTTTCTCCGGCGGCAGAGATGATATGTCATTTCGTCATCAGGGGGTGTCAAATCCCCCGTAATACAAATTTTCCTCGGATTTTAGCGGTAGGTCGCTGTGGCGCCAAATTGGGCGGGCGGGTTGCTCCAAATGGGCCAGTGCCAACAACAAATATCCATATTCGTGCATAAGGGCCACCTGAACAACTTCGGGCACAGTTTCAATGGCAGATAATTTCTTTTTAATCCTGGAGTAGAATAATAATGAATAGTGCAAATATTTGATTGCCTAATATATCTCCCACTATCTGCTGCACGATCTCCACTTCTGCGCAGATCACCCACTGTTCACTGTTTTAGCCACTGGGTATTATCTCCATGTTGGACGAGGAATGTATCGTACCAAAAGCTACTGATCTGACGTTGGCGCAAAAACTAATCGAGCAACATCTTGGCAAACATCCAAACTTCGAGAAACCCAAGCCACCTAAGGGCAAGCAGGTATGTCAGGATTCAGGAACTTCTGAGGGAGTCTGTATCGAATATCTGTCGAAACTCATTTTAAATATTTCGGCAACCTTTTCACATTCAATGAGAAATTCCAATGATTTCAGGGTGAAGCCCACTTCGCTATGCGCCATTATGCTGGTACTGTACGTTACAATGTGACCAACTGGTTGGAGAAGAACAAGGATCCTCTGAACGACTCCGTGGTACAAGTGATGAAGAACTCGAAGAAAAACGATCTCCTTGTCGAAGTCTGGCAGGACTATCAGACTCAGGAAGAGGCCGCTGCTGCCGTAAAAGGTATGTATTCAGTTCAGATAACGTTAAAAGCTTAAGGCAGTGGGCACGATGGTTGGGGGTGGGCGATTGTCGCCAACGTTATTGGTGGAAGGGCTGAGTGGGGTGTGGCCAAACGCCCTCTCGCAGCCCTTCCACCAATGACGCTGGCAATAACCGCCCGCCTGCCACAGCCTGGGGAGGGAGATGACGATGGTCCTCTCTGGCGGCCAAACTACGACTCCTTTCGTTGTAAACTATGATGTACTGATATCAATGTGGAATATAAGAAATACAGTGCCTGTTCAGGTGCTACCTCTGCAAAGAAGAAGGGTAAATCGGGCTCGTTCATGACTGTCTCTATGCTGTATCGTGAATCATTGAACAACCTGATGGGAATGCTGAACAAAACTCACCCACATTTCATCCGTTGCATCATCCCCAACGAGAAGAAGGCCTCAGGTTGGTCATTT